TCTTAAATTATTTCTCTTCCATCACAATTGAATACACTTAGTTTACATTGACCATTCTGTGGGGAGACTGAGGCAGGAGAATCACTTGGACCCCCCCAAGAGTCTGAGACCAACCAAGGCAACATAGCAAGACCCTATCTCAAAAACAAAAATAAAGACCATTCAGTTATGACCAAGCACTTGTATTTATGACAAATACACTTATTTCTACATAATTATTGCTAATGTTCATATTTTTCTCTATTTTCTATCATTTTATAAGACAGATCATTGAATTGAATCCATTTGACCTTATTTTTTCTACCATCTTTTTTCTTGAGACAGAACTTGATTGACTCTGTGACCAAAAACAAACTTGAATTTCCCAACGTCTTCATTTGGTGATGTTTGAAATATACAGTAGGTCGTTGTTGCTCTTTTTTGAGGGGGTTGGGGGAGAATGAGACAATATTAAATGACTCCCAGGCTGACCTTGAACCCACTATGTAGCCAAGGATGACCATGACCTTGAACTTCTGAACCTCCTGTCTCTACCTCCTGAAGGCTTGGAATATGGAAATGCTCCACTACATCTAGTTTATGTGATGTTGAAGCTCGAACTCAGGGCCTTCTGTACACCAGGCAAGTTGTCTACCAACTGAGCTAAATCCCCAGACCCCACTTCACCATTTTCTTTTCCTTGCTTTACTTCCTGAAGGTGCCCATTGACTATTTGCTGATAGTGGATCAATACTTGGTATTTCCATGAATTGTTCTAGGGAGGCATGTGGAGCTGAGATAGTGGGATGGAGTTCCTGGGCTTGGGTAATCCATGAGTAAATCAGATTGGAAATGAGAAGCTCAATTTATCCATACAGATTATTAACAAGGAGGTACAGAGCCATCTGGATCTGGATGTTTCCAGCCACCTCAGCCATCTCCACCTTCCTGCACTGGGTCCCCTCCCTCTGCTTCCACTACTGCACAGTCACAGGATCCTGGGGGCTCCTCAACAGGGACAAAGGCTACCTCAGAAGACACATGGATATCTAGCTCGGCGTGGGTCACACCCGGGGGCTCTTCACTCTTTGGGGAAAAGAGACGATGTGATAGTTAGCATTCATTGTCAACTTGACACAATTTAGAATCTCCTGGGAAGAAAGTCTCAGTGAGGGACTGTCTAGACCAGGTTAGCCTGTGGGCATGTTTGAGCGGGGGGCAGTCATGATTGCATCATTGACCCAGACCTGTGCATGGCAGCAGTCCTTGCTTTGGGTCCTGGACTATGTAAGAGTGGAGGACATGAGTCAAGGAGTAGGCAGGCAGGCATGCATTCTCTCCCCACCCTGGCTTTGATGCTGTGGTGAACTAATGTGAGCCAAAGTAAACCCTTTCTCCCTTAAGTTGTTTTGGTTAGGGTATTGTATCGCAGCAACAGAAAATGGCACTCAGACAGATAGATACAGGTATTTAGAGTCAAGTGCCCCCATATGGTGATTACGTATGACAATTTAAATTTAAAGAAATATCTATTATTTTTATTTTATGTTTATGTGTATTTTGCCTGCATGCAAGTGCACCATATGCATGCAATGCCCAAAGAGGCCAGAAGAGGGCATTTGGATCCTCTGCAAGTGGAGTTATGGACAGTTGTTAGCCACCGTGTTGGCTGGGAACCTAACCCCAGTCCTCTGGAAGAAACAAGGGTTCTCAATCACTGAGACATCTCTCCAGCCCTCATGCTATTTAAATTTACACTTTGTTATTTAAACTAAACAAGCAGGTCCTTAGCCCTGATGCATTGCAAGTACACGATCATCATTTGTACTGTTGCTGTTGCATTGGGCAGTGTAGATGAAGGATGCTCTGTAGAAAGCTCTGCTGAGCCACCAAATTCTAGAACACCTGTGCCTCAGAGAGTGTGAGGGTTTTGGCTATAAAACCAATTGGTTGTGACTGTTTGTAAAAATGAAGGCAAATGAAAAAATAAATGGGGAAAAATTAGAACAAATGTGTAGCTTTGAAAATAGAAGCTATCAGCTATGACCATGAAACGTCATGTCACTATGATATATTATTGTTATAATAAGAAATTTGTTAGTTGATGCCTTGAAAATAGACCAGTTTAGGGACTGGGGAGATGACTCAAGTAGTAAAGTGCTTGCTGTGCAAGCTTGAAGACCTGAGTTTGATCCCCAGTGCTGATGTAAAAAAGACAGAAATGCGGAACATGCTTGTGGTGTGTGTGTGTGTGTGTGTGTGTGTGTGTGTGTGTGTGTGGCACTGGGAAGGTAGAGACAGGAGGATGCCTGGGACTCATTGGTCAGCAAGCCTAGCCTAATCATCAAACCCTGGGTCTCAGTGAGAGACTCCACCTCAATAAACAAGGTGGGAGTCTGGCAAGGGGCTCAGCAGGTAAAGGCACTTGCCACCAAGCCTGGTGACCTGTGTTTAATCCCTAGGACCCACATGGTTGAAGGAGAGACAACTCCAGCAGGTCATCCTCAGACCTTCACATGCACCATGGCATGCATATGCATGTACACATCATGCACATACTCAAATAAATGTAATAAAATATATTAGAAAGGAAAAAAACAAGGTGAACAGCTCATGGGGAATAACACTTGAGGTTGACCTCTGATCTCCACATGCACAAGCACATTTGTGCATTAGCACACCCCACACACATTCCTGTGCACATATGAACACACACATAAACATATTCCCACACATGCATGCATACATACATAATGAGTTCAAGGTCAGCCTGGGTTACATGAGACACCCCCATCTCAAAAAAATATAATGATGTGATGGTTTCATGGGCATATAGTTATCGCCAAACACACTGAATTGTAACATTAAATATTTACAGCTGGGGCTGGAGAGCTGGTGCAGCAATTAAGAGCACTTGCTGCTCTTTCTAGAACCTGGGTCTCATTCCCAGCACCCATGCGGTGATTTACAATCCTTTCTAAGTCCAGTCCAGGGGATCCAGCACCCTCTTCTGGTCTTCTCAGGTATTGCATGCATGGGTGCACTTACATGCAGGCAAAACACTCATGCACATGATAATAAAAATAGGGGCTGGAGAGATGGCTCAGCGGTTAAGAGCACTGACTGCTCTTGCAGAGGACCCGAGTTCGATTCCCAGAACCCACGTGGCAGCTATGAATCATCCTTAACTCCAGTTCCACGGGAATCTGAAGCCCTCTTCTGACCTCCAAGGCATTGCACGACACAGGTGCACTCACATACCTGCAGGCAGAACACTCATACACATAAAAAATAAAAATATTTAAATTGCATAATTTATTCATTTGTGTGTGTGTCTGTGCACGTGCACACGCACTCACACATACCACGCAGCACACCTGTGGAGGTCAGAGGACAACTTCTGGAGTTGGTTCTCTCCTTCTACCATGTGGATCCGAGGGACTGAAGTCAAGCTTGGCAGTAAGAGCGTTTACCCGCTGAGCCATCTTGTCTGCTCTCTGACAAATCTTTTACACTAATGACAATGCTGGGCTTGCATAGATCTTTTAAAGAGAGATTTTGATTTCCATTAGATACAGGAAATGGAGGGGCCAAATCTTAGGGACTGTGTAATTTATCTTAGACCACATGGGTGATAAGCACAAAACATCCTGGAATCCAGCTATTATACTTTGGAATTCAAAGAGTATGCTGGCAAGCTCTGTGAGGGGGCACCTATAAAATACCAGATGTGTGAGCTGGGGGCACCTATAACATGCCAGATGTGTGAGCTGGGGGCATCTATAAAACCCAGTATGAAAGCAGGAGATGTTCCTGACCAGCTTTGGTGGGCGGGGGGTTAATACCTGGGGACCGGGGGAGGGGGCACACTCACCGAGAAAGATGTGCTTTCCTGATTGTATGAATCTGTAGGGGAGGAAGGGGCGGGAGAGCGAGAGATCAGTCCACAGATTTGTTTTTTTATATTCTCATTGTGTGTTCCTCAGACATGGTATGAGTTCATAAGGACACTTTCATACGTTTATAAAGCACACACATTAAGCACATTCCCCCCATACCTCCCTACCTTTCTCTCCCTTCCCTTCCAACTAGTCTCCCTTATAACCCAATTTCACTCCTACCTTTACATCATATATACATACATGATTTTAGGTTTCTCTATAAAGTGGAGGAAACAAGACTGAGAGGAAACATACAAGATATTTCTTTCTGAGACTAAATTCCCTTTAGTATGATTATCTCCATTTGCATCCAATTTCCTGAAAACACCATGCCTTTGGGTTTTTTTTATGTTGTTGTTGGTTTTTTGTTGTTGTTGTTGTTGTTGTTGTTTTTTGAGACACCTTAGCCCTAGGTGGCCTGGAACTCACTATGTAGACAAGGCTGGCCTCATTGTCACAGAGAGCCACCAGCCTCTGCCTTCCGAGTGCTGAGATTAAAGGCGTGCACCACCGCACCATCTTCTTTATGGCTGAAAACATCCATTGTATATATGCCACATTTTTTAAAAAAATTTTTAAAGATTTGAAATTTTTATTTATTGTGTATGTTTGTGTGTCTGTGTGAGTATATGCCGCATGTATGCAGGTGTCTGCAGAGGCCAGAAGAGGGTGCCAGATCTCCCAGAGCTACAGATAGAGATGGTTGTAAGCCACCTGGTATGGGTGCTGGGAACCAAACTCTGGTCCTATGGAAGAGCAGCAAGCACTCTTAACCACTGAGCCATCTCTCCAGCCCCTCTCATGATTTTCTTACACTTTATCACTTACCTATTGCCTCCTGCTCCTGCCTGGGAAATTTGGGGGGAGAGAGAGAGAGAGAGAGAGAGAGAGAGAGAGAGAGAGAGAGGAGACTTAGACTTAGGGGAGGTGATTAGGGGAGGTGAGAAGTAATGGGCATGGGCTGGGGTGGGGGGCTCAGGTGAGGCTGGGCATGGCAACCACTGATGTTCAAATGGACTTTGTGAAGAATGGAGTAGGAGCTAGTGGGGGGCACGAAACTCGCAAGGCCTGTGCACCCATCTACCTCTTGGGGGATTCTTCATGTGACGAACCTATAAAAAGATACCAGGAGGAAGTTATCTCCTGAGATATCTCTCCCTCTCCTCCCCCAGCTTCGCTGAATGGCTCTCTGAACTCACCGCGCTGAGTGCATCTGTAGATGAGGAAGATGGAGATGAAGAGGAGAGAGATGCAGAGGCAACTGAAGGTAGCAAGGAAGATGCGGCCAGTGTCTGCTGGTTCGGGGGGATTTCCTTCATCTCCCCCCACTCTGTCTGTACAAGGAAGATAGTAACAACCACTTCATCAGATATACATGCTGGTATAGATGGAGAGGGACAGACAATAAATGTGGTCATTCATTGTGAGCCAAGTCAGACGATCAGTTTGACTCTCTAAACACACTGATACAGTCTAGAGGAATTGTTAAAAGGAGCCAGACAAGCTGGGTATGGTGACACAGGCCTGTGATCCCAGCACTCAGGAGTTGGGGCGGGAGGAGCTCAAGATCAATCTTTGGCTGCGTAGTAAGTTTCAGGCCAGTCTCAGGTATGTAGTAAGACCCTGTCTAAAGAAACTCACAGGGGCTGGAGAGAGGACTCAGCGGTTAAGAGCACTGGCTGCTCTTGCAGAGGCCCTGAGTTCAGTTCCCACCACCCACATGGTGGCTAACAACCATCCATAACTCCAGGTCCAGGGGATCTGACACCCTCTTCTGACCTCCATAGGCACTACACACCAGTACACTTACACACATGCAGGCAATATACTCATACACATAAAAGTAATAAATAAAATATTTTTTAAAAAACCCACAAAAACAAAACAAAGACTAGGAGTTGGAAATGGCTCAGTGGTTAAGAGCATGTACTGCTCTTGTAGAGGACCCGAGCTCAATTCCCAGAACCCACACTGGATGGCTCACATGGGTGGATCACAATCGTCTGTAATTCTAGCTCCAGGGGATCTGACACCCTCTTCTGGCCTACTGCCATCTCCTGCCAACCAGGCCTCTCTGCCATGACAGATTTTAATCCCTCTGGAACCTGGAACCATAAGCTAAAATAAACTCTTTTTCCTTAAGTTCCCTTGGTCACAGTGCTTTATCACAGCAACAGAAAGTAACTAATACACCTCTGAAGATAGTTTTAGTTGACTATTCATACATAGGCACTAGTAAGAAATAAATTATTATTTACTGCTTTTAAAAACTTGAGAGTTTTTGAATGTTCTCAACTGGGGGATGTAGTTCAGTTGATAGAATGCCTGCCTGGAATGTACAAAGCCCTGGGGTCCATCTCCAGTACTGAATAAACCAGGTACAGTAGCACACACCTGTAATCCTTGGCCCTAGTTTGGTATCTGTTGCTGTGATAGAACACAAACCCAAACCAACTTGAAGAAGGAGTTTATTTTATCTTGCAGCTCTTGGGTCACAGTTCCTCACTGGATGGTCAAGGCAGGAACTCAAGTCAGGACCCTGCAGGCAGGAGCTAACCCCGAGATCATGAGGAACACAGCTTACTGGCTTGCTTCCCCTGGCTTGCTCAGCTACCTTTCTTATACAGCCCACTAGGGATGGCACCACTTACAGTGGCCCATCCCATCCCACATCAATTGGCAATCAAGAAAACGCCCCACAGACAGACACACCCATAGGCTAAACTGATGGAGGAAATCCCTCAGTTGAGGTACCATCTATCCAGGTATGTCTAGGTTTGTGTCAAGTTGACAAAACTAACTAGTATATTCTTGCACCAGGGAGGTTGAGGCAGGAAGGTCAGAAGTTTGAGATTATCCTTATCCATATATATACATATATGTGTATATATATATATATATATATATATATAGAGAGAGAGAGAGAGAGAGAGAGAGAGAGAGGAGAGTTGGCGATCAGCCCAGAAAATGAGGTGCTATCCCCAAACCAAAATAAAATCACAGTAATAGAAAAATGTTTTCAGGGCTAATGAGATGGCTCAGACACCAAGCCTGATAACCCGAGTTTGATTCCTAGGACCCACACAGTGGAGAGAGAGGACCCACACGGTGGAGTGCTGTGGCATGCACATGCACACACACATAAATAAAAATAATAAATAAATAGTTTAAAATATGGGTGTATTGTGGCAGAGGAAGCAGAAAGATTGTAAGATTCAGGGCTGGTGGATGACCACAAGGAGTTTTCCAGGTTTCTGGGAACTTGCTCATATGAACTTACAGCAATGGTGATAGCATGCTCAAGACTCAAACTGTACAAAAATCCAGCATTGAACTGGGGAAATGGGCAGCAGGCCCCAATCTTAGCTGAAGAACTATTGGCAGCTGATCACTGCTGGGTGAGGAAGAATTGATCTTCTTTAAGGGAGTGACACAAGCTAGGCTGACTAGGCTCCAGTGAATGAACTTGCACTGAGGAACATCTGGGGACACAAACTTAACACAGTAGGCCTTAATATGAATGACAGAATGCATGAAATCCAGTGGGGGGTACAGGGGTGCAGATAGGGAGGGTAAGATGTATTTAGCTGGGTGTGGTGGTGCACACCCTTAATCCCAGCACTCGGGAGACAGAGGCAGGTGGATTTCTATGAATTCAAGGCTAGCTGGTACTACAGGGAGACCCGGTCTCAAAAAAGACCAAAAAATATTGTATGAAATGCACAAAGTTTCAATTAAAAATATCCATTCGGGGGGAAAACACTCAAGGACCTGAAAAAAAAATACCTTGGTGTGGTGGCACATACCTTTTAAATCCCAACACTTGGCAGGCAAAAGCAGGTGGATCTCTGTGAGTTCAAGGTCGACCTGGTCTACATGAGGAGTTCCAGGTCAGCCAGGGCTACATAGTGAGACCTTGTCTCAAAAATAATAAATAGCCGGGCATGGTGGCGCATGCCTTTAATCCCAGCACTTGGGAGGCAGAGGCAGGTGGATCTGTGTGAGTTCAAGGCCAGCCTGGTCCACATAGTGAGTACCAGGACAGCTGGGGGTACAGGGAGACCCTGCCTCAAAAAGACCAAAAAAAGAAAAAAAATAAATAATAAATAAAATCCCAGCACTTGGGAGGCAGAGGTAGGTGAATCTCTTTGAGTTTGAGATTCAAACTGGTAGCCTGGTCTACATAGCGAATTCCAGGTCAGCTGGGGCTACAGGGAGACCTTGTCTCAAAAAGACCAAAATAAATTAAAATAAATAAAATAATAAAAAGATCCTCGATTGCACATTTCCCAAAGTACCTGTACTATGCAGGTCCCAAGCTCTCAAATTCACCTCATTCTTCACAAAACTCCACTGTAGATTTTTGTTGTTTTTTTTTTAATCATGAAACATGGACGTTTCCTCCCTTTATGTTGTCTCATACACCAGCATTTCCAGATCCTGGAAGCACCTTAAAGGTCATCTCCCCTCCCCTCCCCTAAAAGCCTGACAGTCCCTCTGTAACATCAAGGAAGCATACACAAGGTGGTTCTTGCACACTTTAAAGAGGAGCCCCTGCCCCATGAAACAGACCTATTTAGGACAAACATCTTTTAATGATCTTACCTGTTTTTAGCGAGGGTGTTCCAGATACACTAGGCTCATCTAGAAAACAGAACACAACAGAAGGAATCCCAGTGATTATATGAGAACACTGAGGGTGTGAGCTACCACGCTTCTCTCAAGTTCTTTAAAAATATTTTTTAATTAGAAAATTTTAAATTTATTTTTATGTTATGTGTATGACTGTTTTGTCTACATGTAAGCACACCTGAGCATGCAATCCCTGAGGAAGCCAGAAGAGGGCATCAGATCACCTGATACTGTACTTAGGAACAGTTGTTAGTTGCCTTATGAGTGCTGGTAACCTGAACTCAGGTCTTCTGTAAGAGCAGCAAATGCTCTTAACCACTGAGCAATCTCTCCAACCCAGGCCCCTTTCTGAATTTTAAAACATTTATTTGTTTGTTTGTTTGTGTGTATGTGTCTGCGTGTGCACACACACGCAACACAGTGCATGTTTGGCGGTCAGAGGACAACTTTGTGGAGTCAGTTCTCTCCTTCTACCTCGTGGGTCCCAGGGCTCGAACTCAGGTCATTGGGCTTGCTGGCAAACACCTTAACCAGAGGAACCGTCTCGCTGGGCTCATTCTCCCAAGTTCCAAAGCCAAATCTCCTAATGTAACTTAAGCACTGCTGTGCTCCCTTTAGCAGCAAATCTGTGCATGTGTACAATGTACTTTGAGCATCCTCCATACTCTGCTTCCCCCTGCCTCCTCTTCCCCTCCCATTAGTCCCCTTTGCTTCCCTAGATAGTTTCTACTTTCATGTCCCCTACACATATATGACTTTGTGTACTTGCATGAAAATAGCTTTATAGGGCTGGAGAGATGGCTCAGCGGTTAAGAGCACTGACTGCTCTTGCAGAGGACCTAGGTTCGATTCCCAGCACCCACATGGTGGCTATGAACCATCCTTGACTCCAGTTCCAGAGGAATCTGAAACCCTCTTCTGACCTCCAAGGCACTGCACGACACGGGTGCACTCACATACGTGCAGGCAATACTCTCATACACATAAAATAAAAATAACAAATAAAATATTTTAAAAAAGAAAGAAAATAGCTTTATGTAACCCTGTATCATAAAATTAAATTTTTAATTAATTAACAGCAAACCCAGCCCGCCACTAAGATCAGTGTTTCTTTCTAAAAAAATCATTTTATTTATTTATTTACTTAATTTATTTATTTATTTATTTATTTGTGTGTATGTACATGTGTACGTGTGGAAATCAGAGGACAGCTTGAGGGAGTCAGTTCTCTTTTTCCATCATGTGGGTTTTGGGGATCAAACTTGTGTCATCTGGTGTGGCAGTAAGCATCTTTACCTGCTGAGCCACTTCACTGGCTCAAAATCACTGACTTTTTATCTCAAAAACATGCCTCAAAATATAAGTAAGACTCTGGGTGTGGTGGCACATGCCTTTAATCCCAGAACTCTGGAGGCAGAGGCAGGCGGATCTCTGTGAGTTCAAGGCCAGCCTGGTCTACATAGTGAGTTCCAGGACAGCTGGGGCTACAGGGAGACCCTGTCTCATCTCAAAACAACAGTATCAATTTATATACCATTCTATTCCATTTTTATAAGTTTGACTTTTTAAGATCGTGTGTGTGTGTATGTGTGCATGTGTGTGTGTGTGCATGTGTTATGTACACATGTATATAATGTGGGTGTACATACCTGGCCACAGCATGCAGAGACCAGAGGGAGACACAGATGTCTTTCTCTAGTTTCTCATCTTATTTTCTGAGACAGGGTCTCACTGAACCTGAAGCTCACCATTTTGGTTAGGCTAGCTGACCAGAGAGCCCCCAGGATCCACCCATCTCTGCTCCCCAGCACTAGGGCTACAGACATGCTCAGCCATGCCTGGCTTTTATGTGGGTGCAGGGAATTTAAAGGTTGCTTGAACAGTGTGGGTGTTGAGGGATGTGTTCAGTTTGTAATAATCATTATATAGTGTGCATCTTGAGTATAATCTTTATCAAATATTTTTATTACTTTTATTTCATGTGTATGCGTGTATTGCCTGCATGTAGGTAAGTGCACCCATGTCGTGCAATGCCCGCAGATGACAGAAGAGGCTGTCGGATCCCCTGGAACTGGAGTTACGGACAGTTGTTAGCTGCCATGTGGGTTCTGGGATTTGAACCCGGGTCTTCTGCAAGAACAGCCTGTGTTCTTAACCACTAAGCCCCTATCAAATACTTTTTAAATTAAAGAAAAATGTCCTACTGTACAAAACGCAGCTACTAGGGACTGGAGAGATGGCCCAGTGGTTAAGAGCACAGGCTGCTCTTGCAGAGGACCTGGGTTCAGTGCCCAGCATCCACTCAGCATCTAACAACTGTCTCTGATGCCCTCTTCACATAACCAGCTTGGCACACTGGAAGCAACTGTGGTTAACTGAGAGATGTTGGTGAGTGAGGGTTGGATGGATGGATGGCAGGCTGGATGGAAGGGTAATGAATGGGTGTAGGGGTGAGTAGGAAGGAAGAGTGAGAGAGGGATGGATGGGTGGGTAGATAAAGGAAAGGATGGGAGGGAGGAAAAAAGAGAGGATGTGGGGAGTGAATAGATGGATACATGGATGAGGGGGGTAGATGTGCAAAAGGGAGGGAGGGAGGAAGGGAGGGAGGGAGGGAGGAAGGGAAGGAGGGAGTGAGGAATGGAAGGAGGGAGGGAGGGAGGAAGGAAGGAAGGAAGAGGGGAGCAGATGGATGAGTGGTTGGATGGGTGAGAGGAAAATGGATGGATGAATGAATGGATAAGAAAGAGGAATGGGTGGATGGGGACAGAGGAAAAGTCTGGATATGTGTGGATGGATGGTTGGATGATAGAGAAGAAGGAGTGGATGGGTGGGTGGACGAGAGGGAATGGACAAGTGAATGAATAAAAGGAAGGAAGGAAGAGTGACAGCTGGGAGGATGGACTATTGGAAAGAAGGAAGGGAGAAATGATCTTCTAGTCCTCTTGTCACTTCAAATCACCATGACGACCTCCCATGGGGCTATCTTCATTTCCTTCCTCTTCCCTGCAGCCCGCACTGTGTCTCCAACACTTTCCTACGCGATGGGTTCTCTGAGTCCCACACTGGGTCACTCACTTCCCTACATCCCTCAGAGAACACTGGTTACTCTTCTGGTTCTTGTTCTCTGTCATAAACAGGAAGTAAGGCTAATTGTGTATGTGACATCAGAGAGGTCACCTAATCTCTATAAGCAGAAACCATCCTTGTGGGAAGAAAGACTGGATAGGTTAATGGAGACTGAAAAACGGACAATGATGCATGATATATGTCCAACGTCAGGTGTCTCCTTACCTGTCACCCAAATCTGCAGGCTGTGGCTGGGGGAGGAGCCCAGGTGAGGCCAGTTACACTGGTAGTGAATGCAGCTGTAGTTTCCACTGTCTTTGCTCGTCACATTCCAGAGCATGAAATCAGTTTGGTTGTTTCTTTCTTTCTTGGTTTGCAGTGGCTCTGGGATTCCTGTTTTTAGCAAAGCAATCATGAAGCACTCGGATCCATTGCTTGGAATCAGACAATGGAGGGTCCTGTGCCCTGGAGTCATCGTAGAGGTAGATTTGACTGACAAGGAGGGTTCTTGGAGTGACCCTGAGGAGGACAAGACAAGGGAGGTAAATGAAGGGCCAGGGAATCTCGTTCCCTCCACAGCTAGGGACTAGCTCAATCATTGCTCTGTGCCAACCACGTCTTTTTAAAAAATACTTATTTTTGCCGGGTGTGGTGGAGCACACCTTTGATCCCGGCACTCGGGAGGCAGAGGCAGATGGATTTCTGTGAGTTCAAGGCCAGCCTGGTCTACATAGTAAGTTCCAGGACAGCTGGGGCTACAGGGAGACCCTGTCTCAAAAAGACCAAATATATATATATATATATTTTTTTTTAATTTTATAGGTATGAATGTTTTGCCTGCATGTATGTAAGTGCACCACATGTGCGCAATGCCCTCAGAGGCCAGAAGAGGGCGTCGGATCCCCTGGAACTAGAGTTATGGACAGTTAGTTGTTAGCCACCATGTGGGTGATAGGACCTGGGTCCTCTGCAAGAGCAGGCAGAGCTCTTAACCACTGAGGCAACCCTCCAGCCCATCAACCATGTCTTTAAAGAAAAGGACTTATTCTTAATTATATGAGTGTCTGTGTATGGGTTTGTGCCTATGAGTGCAGTGACCACGGACTCCAGCACAGAGCATTAGATCCTCTGGGCTGGAGCTCTAAGTATTGTAGCTGCCAGATGTGGGTGCTGGGAACTGAATGCAGGGCCTCTTTAAGAGCAGTACATCCTCTTAACCACCGAACTATCTCTTCAGCCCCTTATTGATCTCTTTTATTTTCTGTATTTGATTCTTTAATATATTGGGGCATGGCTGACCTTAAAGGAACAGGGTTAGAGCCAAGCATCGTGGCACACGCCTTTAGTCCCAGCACCGGGGAAGCAGAGGCAGGTGGATCTCTGTGAGTTCCAGGCCAGCTGGGGCTACAGGGAGACCCTGTCTCAAAAAGACAAAAACAAAAAAAAACAAAAACAAAAAAAACAGGGTTAGTTAATTTCCAGAGATAGTGAACAACTTTCCCTTTAATCCTTTCACATGCAACCTGTTGACCTTCTCTACATCAAATTTTCTACTAACTGACACTTCTAATAATATTTTATTTGTTATTTTTATATATGACATTTATTTTGCATATTATTTATATATGTTTATATTTTATAGCACTGTTCACGAAAAGTTAACAGACTTATTATTCAGGCTTTGCTGATGTAGAGGCTTCAGTGGGGAGAGTCTGCTCCTGGGATGCTGGGGAGAAGACTGATAAGACACTTGTTTCTGGAATGCTGGGAACAGGTGGTCACGTCCCTCACCCTGTGTGTGCATGCATCAAAGGAGGTCAGTCACCAGACCAGGCGTGCTGTGCTCTTTTCTCACTGTGGTGATGCAGAAATTCCTATGTGTTTTAGACTCCTTGAGCACTTATATGTAAACTCTGTGTGAACTTCAAACACTAAGCTTCCAATAAAGCCTCCCAGGAGGGCAGTGTTGAGTTGGCACAAGCCTGGGGACTCCTGGGCTAATCTCAGTTTCTTGGCAACAAGGGTAACAAGGGTGGATATCATCATGGGATGATATACTTGCATGAAAAATGTCATTACGAAATCCACCACTTTGTACAAGGAATGTATGCTGATGAAAAATTTTAATTAAAAAAAAGGCCAGGCATAGTGGTACATACCTGTAATCTCAGCACTTAGGTGAGGGGGGAGGATCAGAGAGGTTCATGAGGCCAACTGCATAGTGAGTTTGAAGCCAGCCTGGGCTACATGAGATCTTGCCTTACTACTACTACTACTACTACTACTAATAATAATAATAATAATAGTAGTAGTAGTAGTAGTAGTAGTAGTAGTAGTAGTGGTAGTAGTAGTAGTAACACAGGAGCAAGATTGGGGAGATGGCTCAGGGCAAAATCATCTTAGCTACCTGGAGAGGACACTCTCCAACCTGCTGAGCTGCCTGCAGGCTATGTGGTGCATTCCAGGTTTCCTGGTTTTTTGAGCTGTCACCCATGCTGGGGTGGGCCTTGGGATGCAGTTGTCTTTGAGTCATTTCTGCTCCTGTAAGTAAATCCTCATCCAAGCTCCTGTAAGTAATCCCAGTAAAGCTCATTGATTCACTAAGTTGGGCTTTGGTGGTATCCTTACTTCGGTCTGTCATTGGTTTCCTATCTGAGGTGAGTGCACTTTTGTTCACGTCTCCCCCAGAATAGTGTCACACAACATATGCATTAGCACACACACAACAAATAAGTGTAATAATAATAAAAACATACAAGAAGTATATCTGAGGCTTCCCTACTCACCTGTGACCACTAGCTGTAAGTTCTGGCTCCGTCTTGACCACTCAAGGGAAGCTGCTGTCTTGTAGGCACAGAAATAGCCCCCAGCGTCCTCAGGCTGCAGGTCAGTGAGGGGGAACTCAGCCTCTCTTCCCACTGAGCTTTGCTCTTGCTGGTACTCGGAGTCATGCACCTTCCCCAGCATGACTGTGACATTCTGGAAATGAGTCCAGCATTGCAGAGTGACATTGCTCTTGGGCCTGACCACAGAGCTGGGCCAGGCACTGAGGAAGGGTCTGGGAAGTTTATCTGGAAAGAATTCGGAGTTAGTTGACTTTTCATCATGATGAGTGAAGCTCCTCCTAGGATTCTGAGGATTAAAGATATGATGGTTCATCTCAACTGTCAACTTGAGGAGACCTAAAACGGCCTGGGAGATTGGCCTCAGGTCATGCTTGTGGGTGGTTATCTTGATTAGGTTCATTGAGGTGGAAGATCCACATTGTGAGTGACACCATGCCCTGGGCTGAGATCCTGGACTATATCAAAAGGAGAGGATCAGGGAGATGGCTCAGCAGGTAAAGGTGCTTACTGCCAAGCCTGATAACCTTAGTTCAATTCCAAGGACCCACCTGGTGAAAGGAGCAAATCAACTCTCACGGGTCCTCTGACCTCCATATGTTTGTTGTAGCATGTGTCTAACCCCCTCTCCCACATGCATAAGTAAATGTATTAAAAATTCTTTTAGGGGACTGGAGAGATGATCCAGTGGTTAAGAACACTTGCTTTCTTCAAGAGAACTAAGGTTTGGTTTCCAGCACCCACATGGTGGCTAACAACCATCTATCTGTAACTCTAGTTCCAGGTGATCTGATACCCTCTTGTGGCCTCTGCAGGTATTGCGCACATATGGTGCACTTACATACATGCAGGCAAAACACTCATACACATAAAATAAAAATAAAATTTTTAAAAATTATTTTAGAAAAGGAGAAAGTGAACTAGGCACAAGGATTTCTGTTCTTTGTTTTTTAAATAGATTTAAGTGTTTTTAAAATAGCTTTTAAGTGTGTGTGTGTGTGTGTACGTGTGCGTGCAGGTACAACTTTCAGGAATCAGTCTCTCCTTCCACGAGGGTTCTGAGACTTGAACTCAGGTCAGTGGATTTGGCAGCAAACACTTATATTCACTGAGCCATCTCATTGGCCCACTCTCTGTTGGACTGTGGATTCAATGTGACTGGTTGCCTCAAACTCCTGTTGTTTGGCTTCCCCACCATGATGGGATGTAACTTCCAACTGTGAGCTGAAAACAAATCCTTTTTCCCTTAAGTTGCTTTGTCAGGATAGTTTATCACAGCAACAGGAAAAGTAACTAAAACGGGGTCATGGACACAGAGGTTATGTGGGAGGAAACTCACCATTCTTTTCCTCATTTTCATAGCCCAAGCATAGCCCTGGAAGAGAAACCACAGTGAGAGACTGTGCATAGCTCTCTCTGAATAGAAACATGCCCTCCTGGAGTAAAGCAGTGTTACAGGAATTAAATCATGAGGAACCAAATCATACTCAGGAAGGGGAGCAATTTATCCTTTATTACATATGGGACTCAGACTGGGATATGCCCCAGAGAAACTGAGGCATGGGCCAGCAATACATACAGGTTTTTATAGGATTTTTTACATCATCTTTTGGCAGTAAAATATTGGTGGATTTGAGAGTTCCAGTGCTGAAGTGTGCATGCCCCTTAGGCTGCTATAGAAAATTTAAACAGCCAGTACTTTTACAAAAAAAGCAGATACTTCAGGCAAGTGTGTGGTGTGGCATTCCATAGTAACATGATATATTGCTAATTGCAGTACAATCTTAGCTATTTTAACAAATAAGGCACATTGGAGTAGGTGCTCCCTCAAGACCACTGCAAGAGGCAGCTTTCTCCAAGGTATTCACAGACTGTGGTTTTTGTGGGTTTGTCTGTGTTGTCCCGTAACAGCTTAAAGCTCAGAGTAGAAAGTCCTTCCTTCTTACAGCTTTTAAACCAGTCTAAAGGAGAGGCTCATCAGGCTAAATCCTTAAAACCTTTACTACAAAGTTCTAATTGTCATTCCTACATATGTCAACAAGCACACTTATTAGGCTTATTGTTAGTAGAATACAGGGTTCTCATCAAATACGTTTGTTAGAACTTACTCCTCTACCACACAGAACAAAGTTATACTGATGTCATGGCTTATTAGTTCTATGTTAGATTCATTTTCCCCCATGAGTACAGGTTTACCTCTTGTATTTCTGTGACCAAGTATCTGACAGAAAGAACGTCACAGAGGAAAGGTTTATTTGGGTTCAATATTCAGGAGATTACAGCCCACTGTATCTTGGGGAAGTCATGGTGGGGAGAGCTCACAGCATGACTTGTTCCCAACCTGGCGGATCAGGAAGCAGGTGGAAACAAGATCAGGCTATGACCCTCAATATCCATTCCCAGCGGCCTTGCCAGCTGGGGATCAGGTGTCTAGGCATGGAGGTGTGGGCCTGGAGCTTTAGTTCCAGGGGCTGGGCAGAGATAGATGAATCTGAGAGCTTGCTGACCAGCCAGGCCAGTCAGTGAGCACCGAGTCCAGTGAGAGTCCCTGTCTCAAGAAATAAGATGGGAGTGCAATCAAGAAAGGCACTCGACATTGACCTCTGGCCTCCACATGCACACAGATTTGAACACACACACACGCACCACACACACACACACACACACACACACACACCCCACAAGTCATCTTACTGTGATTTTTACCTGCAATTTGCCCCACCTCTTCTGTTCTGTGACCTTGAGATTCTCCCCTGGGAAGGGAATATCCTAAAGCCTTGTGGGAAATGGAACACTAGTCTCGGGATTTGGTTCCGGAATTTTTCTAGAGCCACCAGAATGGTTTAGGGTGTCTACTTCTTGTTTCTTAACTAGGCAGTTCCTCAATTGAAGCTTTCCTCTCAGATGACTCTAGGCTGTGTGAAGCTGGCAATTAAAGGACATTTGGGAACACAAATCAAACTTTATAGGCCATAGTATACAAATAAGAGAGTACATTAGGGTGGGGGCAGTGGAGGGAGGTATAGGTAGGGGAGGGGATCTAATTACTATCAAACTATATTGTACAAAAATTGCAAAAATTCAATAATTTTTTAAAAGACAAGGTGTTCTAGTTAACTTCTCTATTGCTGTGATAAAGGACCAAAAACAACTTGGGGAGGAAATGGTTTATTTGGCTCACAACTCACAGTCCATCATTAAGTTCCAAGTTAGGAACTTAAGGAGAGCAGAAACCTGGAGGCAGGAGCTGAAGAACAGACCATGGAGGAACGCTGCTTACTGGCTTGTGCCTCTGGCCTTTGCTCAGCCTGCTTTCTTATACAACCCAGGACCACCTGCCCAGAGGGTGGCACCACCCACAGTGGGCTGGGCCCTTCCATATCACTTAACAATCAAGAAAATACCTCACAGACATGGCCACAGGCCAATCCAATAGAGGAAATTCCCCAGTGGGTCCCTCTTCCCAGGGGTGTCAAATTGACACCTGAAGCTGTTCAACACAGAGTAGCCATAACTGATAGGTGGTATATTAGTCACTTTTGTATTGCTGTGATAGAAACACTGACCCAAGCAATTTATAGAAGGAAGAATTTATTATTTGAGCTTACAGTTCCAGGAAAATTACAGCCCATCTTGGCAGGGAGGCATGGGGCATCTGTGGCTGGAGAAGAGGAGCGGAAGCTAAGCTCTGCATCTTCCAGCAGGCACAGGAAGCAAGAGAGTAACTGGAGATCTGGCAAGGCTTAACAACTCTCTAAGCCCACCCCCAGTGACGTGCTTCCTCCAGGATAGCCACACCTTCTAAGACCTCCCAAAACAGCACCATCATCTGGGGACAAAATGTCCAAACACTTGGAGCCTATGGGGCACATTTTCATTCAAACCACCACAGGTGGCAAAGGCTTCCCGGGTATTATCTCTTCAGACTTTCCTCAGATCTTGCTTTTACATTCAGGCCTAGGGATATGGCTCAGTTGGTAGAGGGCTTGCCTAGCATAAAGCCCTGGGACTCCATCTTCAGCACTGCGTAAACTGGGTATGGCAGTGCACAATCGTAATAATCCTAGTGCTTGGGAGGTGAAGGCAAGAAGACAAGCTTCAGAAACATTATGCTAAGTAAAAGAAATGAGGTGCCAGAGGTCATACACTGTATGATTGTGCCCTGTGCCTTAACCAGACTATGCAGATCCAGAGAGACAGAAAGCTGAGTGGTGGGTGCCAGAGCAGAAGGAGGAGGTGAGAGAGAGATTGCTAAGGAGGACAGTGTTTCTGGAGGAGTAATGACAGTTTTTGGAGCAGATAGAGGCATTGGTCACACAAAACTGTGAATGCACTGTTATTGACATGTATACTTTAAAAGTGGCTGTTCAGCCAGGCATGGTGGCTCTCACCTTTAGTCCCAGCATTTGGGAGGCAGAGGCAGGCTGATCTCTGTGAGTTCAAGGCCAGCCCTGTCTACATAGTGAGTTCCAGGACAGCTGGGAATACAGGGAGACCCTGTCTCAAAAAGACCAAAAAAAAAAAAAGGCTGGTTTTAAAAAATACTTTACTTTGATTTTAAGTGTGTGAATGTATTGCCTGTGTGTGTGTAAGCATACCTGTGTCGTGCAACGCCTGAGGAGGTCAGAAGAGGGCATTGAATTTCCCTGGAGTTGTAGTTATGGATGACTGAAGTTACAAAAGGTTGTTAGCTGCCATGTCGATGCTGAGACTCCACAAGAATTCTGCAAGAGCAGCCAGTGCTCTTAACTGCTGAGCCATTTCTCCAACCCCTGGCTGGTTTTATGTGATGTTTTCTTCAATAACTGTTTAAAAATCAATGTACTTCTACCTTCTCTCATCAAGATTAATATGAACCACAGCGGCTGTGGTTACCTGCACAAGATCAAGCAGGTTCAAAATGACAGAATGAATGAGGAAGGGGGGGCGACTATCACCACCTCTAGCTGAGGAGCTATTGACCGTTGATGGCAGCTGAGAAGGGAGAGTCACTCTTCTCTAGGGATGTGGCAGCTGGTAGGTTAACCATACCCCAGTGGATGGCCTCACCCTTAGGCATATGGACAGCACTAATTGGACTCAATGGATAAAGCAAAAAATAGGGCGCTGGAGAGATGGTTCAGTGGTTAAGAGAGCTGGCTGCTCTTGCAAAGGACCTGGGTTCAATTCCCAGCACTGACATGGTGGCTAACAACCATCAATCACTCCAGTTCTAGGGGTTCTGATGCCCTCTTCTGACCTCTACAGGCATTGTGTGACATAGGTGCACTTACACACATGCAAGCAATACATTCATACACATAAAAAATAGTAATTAATAAGATATTTTTTAAACAAAAGGAGAAGAGGCACAGAGGGAGGGCATCCACAAAGACTTAGGCAGTGTTGCTCCTACAGGTCAAAGAATGCCAACGGAGAGACGTGGTGGCACACACCTGTAATCCCAGCACGTTGGAGGCTGGAGCAGGAGATTGCCACAAGGTCAAGACCATCCTGGTCTACATAGCAAGTTCCAGGCCAGGCAGGGCTATACAAGGAGATCTTGCCTCAAAGATAAGGAACAGTAAAGACTGATGAGTTAGCCCAGTGGATAAGTGTACTTGCTGGTTAAGCCTGAAGACCTGAGTTCAGCCATCAGGATTCACCTGCTTAAAAAAAAAAAAAAGAGCATTGACTCCCAAAAGTTGTCCTCGGACCCCCATACATGTTCTGTGACATTGTGGCCTCCCCCAAAATAAATCAAAATGCAAAAAAAAAAATTAAACAAGTGCTGCTGGACAGATGACTCAGTATTTAAGAACACTGGCTGCACTTAAAAAGACCCAGGGTCACAGTTCCCAGCAGCTACCAAGGACCTTCATTCCAATCTCAAAGTGTCTGTCGCCCTCTTCTGGCCTCTGCATGCATTGCACGCACACGGTGGACTTACAGATAAAACACTCCTACACATAAAATAAAAATAAATGTTTTTTAATTTAAAAACAACAGTAATAAGAAAGAAAAAAGGAAGGAAGGAGAGAAGAGAGAGAGAGAGAGAGAGAGAGAGAACGAACAAAAACATACTAGGCATTGCCAGTTGCTACCAGAAAGTACAAACCAAGAGGGCACAGAACAGGATCTCCATTGTGTCCATCAGAAGCAACGCAATGTTGCCTACACCTTGGTCTCTGTAACTGTGAGAACATAATTTCCGTTGTCTCAAGCCAGCAGGTTGGAAGCTCTTGGGTACAGCAGTTGCAGTAAACCAACACTGTGTATCAGGCTATTTCCCCATCACCTGGTTCACTCTGTCCTGGAGGTTAAGGGGTACAGTGGGCCAACAGCTATCTAAAGCCCATCTGTGCACAGGGGAGGTGCATCAGCCTGGAGGGAAGGCCATGACCAGAAAAAGAGGAAGGAATCAGACAGACGTGGTGTATTGATGTCCCCCACACCTCTCTTGCACCACAGAGGAACTGGAGGTTCAGTAAGGGGAGCTGCGTGTGATGGGGTCAAGTCAATAATCCAGTATTCCTTCTTACACCCTGAGGTAGGTTCTAATGAGGATGTTAAAATCGGCCCAAGCATGGGGATAGTTGGAAAAATCTGTGTCTTACCTACAGCCCCACAGTTGGCAGTTTCTGCACCCCAGCCTCTATCTGTTATGGAATAGCTAGGCAAGATGGCGGTGTCCGGAGGGGAGGCTCAGAGACGCCATGGAGCTTGGACTTCTTGCGGTAAACACAGCATCTCCACAAACCTGTGTCTCAGGTCCTTAGGTGTGGACAGCAACACTGATGTATATGAGACCCCCAGCCTCTCGTGCCCACACATGGACACCCTCATTTTTGCATGTCCACAACTCACCATCTTGACACCCCCATGAGTTTTTCTCACCCATCTAAGCATTTGCCGCAGCCCTGGAGACTCACTGAGGAAAAGCAGGCATAAGAGCTCGGCTTCCATTGCTTGACGTCTGCTGAGTCCAGTTCCCGCCGTCTGCTCTCAGGAGATGCGGGGCAGGAGGCGTCTACAGATCTCTCCCTGCTCACTTTGACCCTGGAGTAGGTGGAGGTTCTGTTCTGCCACTTTGGCTGTCTGCACCACCGGTTGCACAATTTCCTTCTTGCAAATGACCCAGGAAGCAAGAAGCCATTGATGATGATGACATCTTCCCCTGGAGCCTATATGCAGCTCCATCCACCCCAGACCTGCCTGCTTATCCAAAATCTTACCTAAGACTTTAAAATATTTAATTTTTAAAAAGTTCATACTTGTAGTCAGGTGTAGTAGCACACACTTTTAATCCTATCACCCAGAAGGCAGAGGTAGGTGGATCTCTGTGAGATTGAGGCCAGCCTGGTCTACATATGGGGCTCCAGGCCAGCTGGGGCTACAGTGAGACCCTGCCTTAAAAAGAAAACAAACACTTGTATACAATGCGCTGTGATCATCATATTCACACCCCATAACTTTCTCTTTTCCCCTTACTCCAGTGAACCTCCTTGTCCCTAACTAGTCTTCCCTACCTCATCCCCCTTCCCTCCCTCCTTCCCCTACCTCATCCCCCTTCCCTCCCTCCTTCCCCTACCTCATCCCCCCTTCCCTCCCTCCTTCCCCTACCTCATCCCCCTTCCCTCCCTCCTTCCTTCCTTTCTATTCTTTCTCTCTTTTCTGTGTGTGCAGGTCACAGCTGCTGTGTGTTCATGAGTACAATAGTTGTTTCATGTCCAGACGACAGCATTTCACAGTGCTCCTTCGCCTCCTCCAGCTCCATGGCATGTGCCCATGTACACACACACACACACACACACACACACACACACACACACTAACAAATGTAATTAAAATTTTAAAATAGATTAATGGAATAGCATGGAAAATTCTGAAATCAGTCCATTAATATATAGTAAGTTGAGCCCCCCTCTCTCTCCCTCCTTCCTTCCTTTCTTCCCTCTCTTCCTCCCCCTCATCCTTTGTCCCTTCTTTCCTTCCTTCTTCTATTGAGACAGGGACATATTATGTCACTATACCATGGTCACACACTCCTGGGTTCAAGCAATCCTCCTGCCCCAACCTCCAAAGCAGGTGGAGCCTCAAACTGTCTACCATGACTCCCAGTCCAGGAAATGGCATTTAAAAGAATTTTTTTAGCTTATGTGTTTGAGTGTTTTGCCTGCATGTATGTAAGTGCACCACATGCATGCACAGCCTGAGGAGGCAAGAAATGGGTGTTGTATCCCCTGGAACTGGAGTTGCAGATGATTGTGAGTCCCTTGTGGGTGCTGGGAACTGAATCTGGGTCCTCTGCAAGAGCAGCCACTGTTTTAAACCTCTGAGCCATCTCTCCAGCACCCCCAGCATCATTTCTTGAAAGGACTGTCCATTCCCATTGAATCACCTTGGCATTACTATTTACTGGGGCTGGAGAGATGGCTCAGTGGTTAAGAGCACTGGCTGCTCTTTCAGAGAACCTGGGTTTGGTTTCCAGTACCCGCGTAGTGGCTAATGCCTGCCAGTAACTCTAGTTCCAGGGGAACTGAAACTTTCTTCTGGCCTCCGAGAGCACTGCACAAATGGGTGTACTTACAGACATGCAGGCAAAAGACTCATAAGTGGACATTTCATGACAACTCTCACCTGATACCTATGCAAGATTAACTTGAAGGAGGCAGTAGATCTAGACACAAAGGGGAAAACTAATAAAACAAAACCAAAAAATACTGTAGAAGAAAACAAAGGCATACACCCCTATCACCTTGATTTAGGCAGTAATTTCTTAGGTAGGATACAAAAGCTTCAGTCACAAAAGATAAACAGTTGTGGGCTGGCGAGATGGTTCAGCAGATAAAGGGGCTTGCTACCAAGCAAGAGTTCAATACCCAGAACTCACATGGTGGAAGTAGAGAAAAGAATCCTGCAAGTTGTCCTCTGACCTCTACATGCACTATGGCATGCATGTGCACACTAACACACACACACACACACACACACAAACACACACAAGGCCACACAAAGTAAAACTGTGATTCAAAAAACTCATGACTTATTGGTTTCACACAGATTCAAAACTTTTGCTTTAAAAAAAGATGTTAAGGGCTGGAGAGATGGCTCAGCGGTTAAGAGCACTGGCTGCTCTTCAAAAGGACCTGAGTTCAGTTCCCAGCACCCACATGGCAGCTAACAATCATCCGTAGTTCCAGTCCCAGGGGATCCGACAGCTTCTTCTATCCTCCATGGGCATTGCACGACACGGGTGCACTTACCTACATGCAGGCAATACACTCATACACATACAATAAAGATAATAAAATGTTAAAATGCTAATGTTATAATAATGTCATATAGGAAGGGATTTCATCGTGACATTCCCAATACAGGCATATAATGCGCTTTGGTCATTTTCTCCTCTGTTATCTTTCCGGTTTCCCCACCCTCCTTCGCCCTCTTCCCTGTCCACATCTTTCATGGTGAATGTGAAAATCTCCCCGCAGGTTCACGTGTTTGACTGGAAGCTTTGGGACCAGAAACTGCCTGGCAGAAGTGGACATCTAGAGGCAGGCCTCGAGGGTTATACCTGTGTGATGGTTAACTTTAATTATCAAGTTGCCGTAATGCAGAATCTGGGAAGGGAGTCTCAGTGAGGAATTCTCTACCTTAGATCAGCCTGTGGGCATGTCTGTCGGGGATTGTCTTGACTGGGTTAGTTTATTTTTTAAACTTTTTATTGAATTTTTGTGTATTTCATACATAAAATCATCTTTATACTCCCTTCCCCTCCCCCGTGGCACCTCCCATAGCCCCCCCCCACACACACACACTGGAGTTCATAATTCTGTCATTTGTGTTAAGGCCTATTACCAACATTAATATTTTTAAAAGAAGAATGGACAAACAATTCGACAAGAAGCAGGTCAAAATCCAGGCATGGACATGGGAAAGTAGGTAAGAAACCCCGACCCAGGGATTTGAGAATATAACTTTGATTCTATCATCTATCTATCTATGTACATGAAATTGAGCAGGAACTAGTGGAGAACGCAGATGGAGGAGGGGATCTAAATGCAATCAAAATTAATTGTATAAAATTTGCAAAAATTCAATAAGAAGAATGTAAATATATGTGTGTGTGTGTGTGTGAGAAAGAGAGAGAGAAACACAGTCTGTAGATGAATGTATCATTTGCATATTATTGATTACCAGCAATCTGTCCCAGAGAGGCTCCTCAGTAATGTATGTTCTTAAGAAAATAAAGCTGGGGCTGGAGCGATGGCTTGGGAGCAGTTACTGCTCTTGGGAAGGACTTGAATTAGGCTCTCAGCACCTGTAACTCCTGATCCAGTTGGTCTGATATCCTTTTCTGGCCTCCACAGGAACTGCATTCATGTGCATACCCCCCCACACACACATATACGTCAAGTGAAAATAAAAATAAACCTTAAAAACAAATGAAATGCAAGCTAAAACCTCACTGATAAAAGTAATAGAATTATGACCACAAAGCTGGTCTGTGTGTAGGCACTAGTTTATGGTCCAGGTTACACACCACAGCAGTAGGAAAATAGAGATTTACATTTTTATAATCGTTATCAAAGCCAAGCATGGTGGTGCACTCCTTTAGTCCCAGCACTCAGGAGGCAGAGGCAGGCAGAGTTCTGTGAGATTGAGGGTAGCCTGGTCTATATAGCAAGTTCCAGGCCAGCTGTGGCTACAGGGAGACCCTGTCTCAAAAACAAAACAAAACAAAACAAAACAAAAAATAATTATCAAAATAGCAACCAGTCAGGTGAGCATTTGTGCCCAGACCTATCCTCTGTCCCCAGTAAAGAGGCAGGAAGAGGCAGCCATCTTCCCTCCTCTAAGTGGCTCTCAAAGAGTGGTTGTCAAGGAGGCAAAGAAAATGCATGAGGATCATTCTGGTCCAGTTTGATCAAGGATTCATCGTTCCCCTGGGGCACTGTGGGTAGAAAAGAACAGATTTGAATTAAGAAGAAGAATATACATACTTTAGGCCCAAGCCTAAAGATCCCAGTCCCTACCTCCCATCCCTCATCTGGGGGTATTTGAAGATACATTGCTTCTGGGGTAGGGGGGAGGTACATTGAGATAGGGTCTCATGTATCACAGGTTAGCCTGAGACTATGTAGCTGAGGATGACTTTGCACTTCTGATCTCCTTGGCCTTCAGTCAGCACTGAATGTGAAAGGACATTGTATCAATTTAGAGTTGTTAGATGTTCCTACAGTGAACTAGATCAAGGAAAGATGATAAGAAAAATTCATTTGTACTTATATGAAGAATCCCTAAGATGACTCTGGGTGGGCCTGGTATTTAGATAAGTTGTTATTGGTTTGGTGTACACCAGGGTAACTAGAGGTAACAAGGCTCTATTGAACAACTGAAATTTGCTGCAAAAGTGGGTCCTGAATCAGTAGGTTTGACAGCTGATTTGTGGTAATCGTTTCACTATCAATGAAGTTATTCATTTAGCACATAATTACTCCGTTATTTTCCAAGGTTGATTGAAAAACAACTGATAAAAATTTAAATATGTTAAGACCTAACATTATGCATAGCAAATATATTCAATTTGCATTTGTCAAGTATACCTCAGTCCATCTAGGATGGGGAAGACCTTCATAACTACACAACAGCCCATGAAAAATAAGTGCTCAGCTATTTCACCTGGGTCTGCTTGGAGACACTCTCCGACTATACCAGGCTTCAACCAGGAAGATCCCCACCATCAGCACGACTACAGCAGCCATTCCCAACCGAATGAGGTTTCCCATGGTGTAGCCTTCAGACTTGGTACATGGGGGATCTGAGAGAGAAAATGACCATTAGCCATAAAGGGAGTCCCTCCTTTGTGTGTGGATGGACCAAATCTGACTCCTTTTTGCCTACTCCCATGCTGACCAGTGGGCGGTTGTCCATTCTTTAAAGATTTAACCCCTCAGGGACTGAAGAGACAGTTCAGCAGTTAAGAGTAGAGGACTCAGGTTTGGTTCCCAGTACCCACATGATGGCTAACAACCGTCCATAACTCCAGTTCCAGGGGAATCCAATGCTCTCTTCTGACCTCCTTGACAACATGGGTGCACTTATACACATGCAGGCAATGCACTCAAACACATAAAATCAAACAATAAATAAGAAATATTTAACTCCTCAACACAAAATGTAGTCTTTTGTGAGAGTTGAAACGCATGTTGCTTTCCTCTTTGTAGCCATTCTCCCTTAGATCTTTTCCTTTAATTCTTTAGTTTGATCTCACTTCCACCCTCCCCTTTTCCTTTTACCCCATCAGTCTCGATACATCAGGAGTTAGTCTTAGGAGCAACACACAGACCAAAGGACATCCACACAGCACTGAAATTAGCGGTAGATTAGCATGCCCACTGTTTGTGGGCAGGCCACAGAATACCATGTGAGCAGTGAGCTTAGGAGAATTTGAGCCAAGCAAACTGAGTCTGGAATACTGTATATCTCTGCTTCATTCAAATGGAGTTGTTGCTTGATAAGGGGCTGGGGAGATAGCTCTGTATATAAAATGCTTGCCGTGCATGTGTGAAGAGCTAAGTTCAGATCCCTGAACCCATGTGAGCTGAACACAGTAATATGCATCTGTTATCCATGTGCACTGACGGTGAGGTGGAGGAAAGAAAATCCCCAGAAACTCACGAGGCAGCTAGCCTTGCTTACACAACAGCGAACAGCAAGAGGCCCTGCCTCAAAGTGGAAGGTAAGAAAATACACCCGAGGTTGTCCTCTGACTTGTACATACATCATGGTGTCTCCATGCCCACACACACATGAGAACATATGTACACACATCAAAAAAAGAAGAGGAAGGGAAGAAGTAGGAGAAAAAAATGGAAGGAGATGGAGAAGAGGAGGAGGAGGAGGTGGAGGAGGAGGAAGATGAGGAAATTAAAATACGAGAATTGCAAGGCTAAATAAAGCATATCTGTTAACTACAACCTCTCCATATACACATTCACAAAATGACACTAAACCTTACCTGTCACAGAGATCTCAAGGGGGTCACTGGGGCCTGAGGCAAAGAAGGGAATCCTTTCTAGGTAGTACACACAGCTGTATCTTCCAGAGTCTCTGGCAGTCACATTCTGAAGAGAGAAGTCTAACTGGAGTCCTGCCGCTTTCCTGGTCTGCACAGGCCATGCACTTCCCACCTTCAGCAGAGCGAACATCACCGATCCTGACACATTGGTTATATTCTGGCACCGCAGAGTCACCTTCCCTCCCGTGGTCACTGTACTCCAGAGGTGGGCTTGGAGGGAGGGTTTAGGTAAGTATCCTGTGAGAGAAAGACTCTGAGGTCCAGGGGAGAAACATGGGGTCTCATGCTTACTCTTGTTCTCCTGGCGAGGGTCCTCACAATCCCCATCCCTCCAGCCTTTTACTGTGACTCCAGGTCAGAGATATTTTCCTCCCATGTATCCTGGGTAGAGTCACATACAGCCACTGACCCCTCCCCCCAACTGCTGTGGAGATGACACCCCTTTCTCTCTTCCTCTCTTATGGTGTCTCCCTCAACCCCTATCTGAAGATCACCATATGCCATTCCGAGGCAGCCCCTCTTCACCTGTGACCAGTAAGAGAAGGCCATCACTGGCTGGTGACACTCTGGCTAAGCGATGTTTTCTGTAATATTCACAGGTGTAGAATCCTGCATCACGCTGCTGTAACTCAGTGATGTGAAAGTCAGCTGTCTTCTCTCCCAAATCATCTGGCTTGCTGGATTTCAAAACAACACCTTCCTTTTTGAGAATAAAGTATAAACAAGGGGTAGGACTTATACATTGCAGGGTCACGCTGCTCCTGAGAGCAACCACTGAGCTGGGCCAGGCGCTGAGGCTGGGCTTGAGGCGTGGTCCTGGAAGGAAGTAGAGTTCAGAGCTGCATCTGACATACCCAACTCTCCCAGACAGCACCCACCCCCCATTTTTTTCCAACATGGAACTTTTGGCATTTACTTATGAAAGTCTTTTATTGATGCATGGTGCATGATATTTTTTCGCATTGTAAATCCCTGCTGCAGACTTCGCTACGTGAGAGTTATACGATGTGTTAGAGAAACAAGATCGGTCTTGAAGTACTAAAGAGGACTTTTCAATCACTCAGTTGTTTACCAGTGAACACTGATTTAACACCTCGACTGCACCAGATACCATATCAGCCAACAGTACAGCCTCAGAGAAACAGAGCCTACCTGACGGCATCCACCACAGCAGTAAATTGACTTGGCCCTCCACTACTATTTCTATGCCTCACTGTGGACACTAGACCATGAGAGGCAAATAGCTGTGGTCAGTGGACCTCGCAGCAGTTCAACAGACGCCTGCAGACACGGTCTGAAAGTCTTCTAGACTAGAGGTGAGAATATCTTAAAGAGCCAGGTAATAAATGTTTTAGGCCTTGCTGTCCATATAAGCTCCATGTTCGTTGTGAGCTCTGTTACGGTTGCAAAAGGGCAGCTATGCCAATCAGTAGATCCACACTGGGCCAGGCGTGTCAATAAAATTTTATGTACAGAAACTGAAATCCAAATTTCACATAATTTTCTCGTTTCACAAACTATTATTATTATTTCAAGTTTTTCAAGCATTTTCAAATGTAAAAACTTTTCCTAAACTCAAAGGTTGTACAGCATAGCCATCAGATAGGACTAGCTACAGGTAGTAACTGGCCAGTCCCAATTTTAGACTGGCTGCTGATGCCTACATGATAGGAAGGATGAATTTATCAGGGTAAAAAAGCCAAGTGCGTGCATCTTTTAAAAGGAGAGAGGGCTGATGAGATGGTTCAGTTAGTAAAGTGTTTGTCTATTCCCAGAATCCACATAAAAGAGCAGGATTTGTTGATGCTCATAATCCCAGTGCTGCGGAGGTGGAGAAAGATGGATTCTTGGATTCCTGGAGCTCGCTTGTCAACCAGGCTAGCCTAATTGGTGAGTTCCAGGTCCTAATGAAAGACCCTGGCTAAAAAAAAAAAAAGTGGCCTGGTGTGCTTTAATCCCAGCACTCTGGAGGAGCAGAGGCAGGTGGATCTCTGTGAGTTCAAGGCCAGACCCTGCCTCAAAAAGACCACAAAAAGGGGCTGGAGAGATGGTTCAGCGGTTAAGAACACTGGTTGTTCTTGCAGAAGACCCAGGTTCAAATCCCAGCACCCATATGGCAGCTGACAACTGTCTGTAACTCCAGTCCCAGGGGATCAGGGGATCCAACAGCCTCTTCTGACCGCTGTGGGCGTTGCACAACACGGGTGCACTTACCTACATGCAGGCAATACATGCATGCACATAAAATTAAATAAATAAATTTTTTTTTGGTCTTTTTGAGACAGGGTCTCCCTGCAGCCCCAGCTGTCCTGGAACTCACTATGTAGACCAGGCTGGCCTTGAGCTCACAGAGATCTGCCTGCCTTTGCCTCCCGAGAGTACTGGGATTAAAGGTGTGCGCTACCACGCCCAGCAAATAAATTTTTTTTTTAAAAAACTCCAAAGTGGACAGCTCCTGAGAAACAACACCTATGATTGTTGACCTCTGTGTTCCATGTGCATGCATGCACATACAATTGCACTGCACCCACAAGAACAGACTCACAAACCCACACATATATACACAATATAAAAGGGGAAAGGGGAGCTGGAGAGTCGGCTCAGAGGTCAAGAGCACTGGCTGCTCTTGCAGAGGACCTGGTTTTAGTGCCCAGCACCCACATAATTGCCAACAATCAGTTCCAGTGAATCCAGCGCCATCTTCTGTCCTCCACAGGCATTGCACTTACAGGTGCACTTACACACAGACAAAACGGTCATACACACAAAATAAAACTTAAATATTGGGGGGGGGCAAAAGCAGGATATCTGGATGCAGGATTGGATCAAGGAGAGTCTGACTGAAGATTCACTTACCATTGTCAAGTCTGTCTATTTGCCCAACACACAACCCTGTGAAAGAATCACACATGAGACACAAGTTCCTGCTTAGAGTCACCTTGGCACCCTCCCTGGTCCTGAGGAGCATTCCAGAGGCTATTTCAGAGTTCCCACTCAGGAGCCACATGCCCCCCTTCCCTGGGCTACAGATTCACATGTTCAGTCTCATTTCTGAGACTCACTGCTCTCTTTCCAATGCTCCCATCTTAGCCCCACAAACTCCCACAAATCCTTCCCCTCTCACCCCATCCCCAAGTTTCATGCTGTCACCATCTATTAGAGCATGGGTCATTATATCTCCCCCAGGAAGGAGGCACCAGCCATGTAGGAGGCAGAGGACAGCATGTAGGAGAGCTCCCCAGCAATGTGGAAACAGAGCATAACATGTGACTCTAGCCTACTTCTAAGGGTATCAAGACCCCTTGGAGGGAGACTGGGGAGTTCGGGTCCCAGCACCCATGTTAAAAAAAAAAATCAGGCCAGGCGTGGTGGCACACGCCTTTAGTCCCAGCACTTGGGAGGCAGAGGCAGGCAGATCTCTGTGAGTTCAAGGCCGGCCTGGTCTACAAAGCGAGTTCCAGGCCAGCTGGGGCTACAGGGAGACCCTGTCTCAAAAAAGACCAAAAGAAAAAAAAATCAATGCAATGACTTGGGCTTAGACCCAGTGCTGGAGGGGCACAAACACTGCACACTCACTGGTCAGCTAGCTTAGCCTAATTGATGAGCCTCAGGTGAAAGACTTCAAAAAATAAGGAGGTGGGGGCTGGAGAGATGGCTCAGCAGTTAAGAGCACTGTTTTTTCTTACAGAGGACCCAGGCTCAGTTCCCAGCACCCACATGGCAGCTAACAACCACCTGTAACTCAAGTTCTAGGGCATCCAATGCCCTCTTCTGGCCTCTCTGGGTATTTCAGGACATGGGTACACTTATACACATGCAGGAAAAACACTCATACATTAAAATTAAAATAATTTTTTAATTTATTCATTTATTTTTTATCTTTTTTGAAACAGGGTCTCCCTGTAGCCCCAGCTGGCCTGGAACTCACTATGTAGACCAGGATGGCCTCAAACTTACAAAGATTCGCCTGCCTCTGCCTCCCAAGTGCTGGAATTAAAGGTGTGCACCACTATGCCGGGTCTATGATAAATAAAATTTAAAAAACAAGGTGGGGACTAAAGAGATGGCTCGATTAAGAGTACATACTGTTCTTACGAAGGATCCAAGTTCAATTGCCAACATCTATATCGGGTGATTCACAGCTGCCTATAACTCCAACTCCAGGGGATCCAATACCGGCTTCAACCTCTGCTGGCACTGCACTCACATGCACAACCCGCCCCCACACACACATGCGCATATGTACATTAAAAAGAAATAGTCTTCCAGGCCTCTGGGAACTTGCTCATATGAACTTACAGCAATGGTGATAGCATGCCCAAGACCCATGCTGATTCAATTAGACAAAAACCCAGCATAGAACTGGGGAAATGGGCAGCAGGCCCCAACCTTAACTGAAGAAATATTTGCAATTGATTACTGTTGGATGAGGGAGAGTTGATCTTCTTTAAGAGAGAGACTCTAGATAGGCTGACTAGACTCCAGTGGATGAACTTGCACTGAGGGACATTCAGGTACAAAACTTGGCTCAATAGGCCTTAACATATATGACAATGCATGAAAATCTGGTGGGAGGTGTGGATGAGGGAGGAGGTCTAAATGTGATTAAGATTTATTGAATGAAATGCATAAAAAATCAATAAAAATAAGGGGCTGGAGAGATGGCTCAGCAGTTAAGAACACTGGCTGCTCTTGCAGAAGACCTGGTTTGATTCCCAGTACCAACATGGTGACTAGCCATGTAACCAGTTCCAAGGGATCTGACACCCTCGTCTGACCTCCTTGGGTATTACACAACATGGGTGTACTTACATATATGCAGGCAATACACATACACATAAAATTAAAATAATAAATAAAATATTTTTTAAAAGTCAATAAAAATACACACACACACACACACACACACACACACACACAAAAGAAAGAAAAACAGAGCCAGGTGTGGTGGCATGCAACTTTAATCCCAGAACTTAGGAAGCAGAGGCAAGCAGATAAATTTCTGTGAGACTGAGACCAGCTAGGTCTACATAGTGAGTTCCAGGCTAGCATGGGCTACAGGGAGACCCTGTCTCAAAAAACCAAAAAGAAGAGAAAAGAAAGAAAAAAACCCAACGTGGACAACATCTGAGGAATGACATCAGAAGTTTATCTCAGAACCCTACACTTACACAGACACACATGCATATAAACACACACACCAAACAAAAAGCTCCTGTGTAGGATTTAGTTATGGCGGCACATGCCCATAATCTCAGCACTTGGAAGACAGAAATAGAAGATGAAGAATTCAAGGCCATCTTCATCCACACAGTGAGTTAGATAGAGGCCAGCCTGGGCTGCGTGGGGAGACCCTGCATGGTGGTTTGAATGAGAAATGTCTCACATGTACTGCATGTATTGTGAACACTTAGTCCCCAGTTGGTGGTGCTGTTTGGGGTCCACTAGAAAACTAGGACTAAGGGTGAGTCTCAGTTGGTGGAGTACTTGCCTAGTATCTATAAAGTCCTGGGTTCAATCCCCAGCACCACATAAACCAGGCATGGTAGCACACACCTTTAATCCCAGCACTGGGAAGGTAGAGGCAGGAGATCAGAAGTTCAAGCTTAGGCCATCCTTGACTATATAGTGAATTAGAGCAGCATCATCAAGCAACCACAGACTGCAACCTATAAAGCCAGGGACCAAGATGTACCTTTCTTTCTTTTAGGTTGATTATCTCAGGCATATAGTCACAGGGTTGATTATCTCAGGCATATAGTCACAGTACTGGGAAGCTGATAAGGACATGATTTTGGGCCTTAGCAGATATTATCAGGGCCTTAGAAAACACTCAGATATTAGCAATATAAAATAAAGTAAGGTGCTCAGGGAGATTTTTAAAGTATGGAGAGAAGACTGGGGAGATGCTCAGTCTTAAGTACCTGCCATGCAAGTGTGAAGACCAGAGATTGGATCCTCAGCACCCACGTAAAAGCTGGACATGGTGGCATTTGTCTGTAACACCTGTGCTAGAAGGGCAGAGATAAGCAGATCTCGAAACTCAGTGGCCTGCCATCCTAGCTGAATTTACGAGAGACCCTGTCCTCCAAAATAAGGTGGAGGGTTGGTAAGATGGATCCTTGTTTCTCATTCTTTGACAACCAGTTCTGTCTTGCCAGAACCTGGAAATGTCCTTGATTCTACCCATAGCTCTGCCATGGACAGAGGCCAGAAATAGCAAGAGCCATGTCGGGGACCCCCTCGTGATCTGGTAGTCTTTCTTTGCCTTCTACATAGCAACCTGTATGAGCACAGCTGCCTGGAAGCTGTGCATGAGGGTATGCCCCAAACTCCAGTCCAGTCCAGGATGAAGAGCACGTGAACACTCAGGGTGGGACAGCTGGACTAACAGCTCACCTCCCCAAGCCAGCTCAGTAAAGCTTTACTAACCAGGCAACCCTCCATGACCACTCTTTTGTTGCAACTCACTCCTGCTGTGCAGGAGCTGCTTCCTTCCTTCCCTTTCAACTCTCCCCTGGGACTGGTGGGATGGCTCAGCAGGTCCTCAGGCTTAATGACCTGAATTCAACACCTGTAAATTATCCTCTGATCTCCACATGTACATCACGAGATGCATGCACACACACACACCCTGATTAAATACACATAGGGGCTGGAGAGATGGCTCAGCAGTTAAAAGCATTGTCTGTTCTTGCAGAGGACCTGGGTTTGGTTCCCAGCACCCACATCATGGCTAACAACTATCCTAAACTCCAATTCCAGGAGCTATGATGCCCTCTTCTGGCCTCCATGGGCATTGCACATACATGGTCCACAACGTACATGTACATAAAACTCTTTTTTAAAAGAAAATATTTTATTTATTATTTTTATTTTATGTGTATGAGTATACTGCCTGC